CACGTCTGAGAGGAAAAAAGAGACAGAACCCTTGTATGGAAAGTCATATGTAAACAAATGCCTACCAATGTGATCCCTGGCCCTGTTTTCTTTGCTGAGCTCCATAATCTGGGGTTCGTACTTCGTCACTTTAAGTTGCACACAAGCTTTTGGAGTGGTCAGTTGTCAAACGACTGCGGGAGTGGCTGAGCACGCTCTTCATATGTGAGAATATCTGCTCACAGAGATATGTTGATCCAAAGACTGTCAGCAAAGCCAATGCAATGTTCCTGAGACAGCAAAACTTCTCTGGTACAGATATCCAGCAGGTGAAGATGCAAGTTCCGTGATCATGCCTTGCGACGGTCTCCAGCTGTTTCCGTAGCTCTGCAAACTTTGTCACCCACAGTGTTGAACTCTTCAGCTCAATCAGCTGCATTTCCACGTCCTTTATATTCAGCCAGTCCATCAGAGTTAAATCCAGTTCATGTCCATCATAGCTATCGGGTTTAATCAAGAATGAGAACATGGGTCCATACTTCTGAAATTCCCGAAATCGTGCTGTAAACTCAGTCTCAAGCCTGCTGATGTATTTGCACATTTCAGCTGTGTTGATGCTGTGCTCTGTGGACAGCTCCCTTAAGTGTCTGAAGTAGCGGAAAGTGGAGGTGGCAATGTCGCTTGAAAAAATTGTCAGCTTTCCAACAAAAGCAGCCCATGTTTCGTACGTGTCCAAAACTGTTTGCCCTGCACCTTGCAGGTGGAGATTAAGCTTGTTTAGGTGTCCCGTAATGTCCGTGAGAAACATACGTTTCACAACCCACTCCTCGTCCTGGAGTTCGGTCTTGGCCTTTTTCAGCCAGGAAGGCCTTTATAGCATCAAAGCAGCTGACAAACCGCTCCAAAACGTTCCCGCAGCTTAGCCACCTGACTGCTGTCTGGAGAGGGATATCTTTGTATGCGCAGTTCATTTCCTCGAGCAGAGACATGAACTGTCGGTGTGTTAGAGCCGATCACCTAACTATGAAGTTAACAACTTTCACCATGGTAGCCATAACCTCATTAAGATCTGAATTTGACATTTTTGCACAAAGAATTTCTTGGTGTATTATGCGGTGAAGTTTCATGATGGGGTGACCAACTTGTTCCTCGATTAATGTGACTGCTCCCCGCTGTTTCCCAACCATGGCGGGGGCACCATCTGTTGTCACTGCAAAAAATTTGCTTGTGTCAATCCCTCGCTCCTTAAAATGCTCCAGAAAAACTCTGGCTATGTCCTCACCTTTTGTTGTTTCAGGCATTGGCTTTAAGCAACAGAGTTCCTCTCGTACAGTCACATCACCGTATCTTGCCATGACTGCCAAACGTGGTATGTCACTTACATCCACACTCTCATCAAGTGCAACGCTGAATACCATGGCTTCTTTCAAACCACCTGTCTGCTGCGCTCTTACGTTTTCTGCCATTTCTTCAATGCGTCTTTCAACACTTCTGGCTGACATGGGAATTTCTTTTATTCTTGATTTTATTGTCTCTTTGTTTGGTAAGCCATCAAACAAAACATCTGAGCTACAGATGAAAGCCTCATTTATATATTCACCATCAGTAAATGGCTTTCCCTGTTTTGCAATCCAATTAGCAATGTGATAGCTTGCTTTGGTAGCATGATTTCTGGCCGTGGCAAAGACTTTGAGGGTGTTAGCTTGATTCCCATACCTGGAAATGGCACGTTTGATACATTCAGCCTTGTCTGCAGCATCCTTGAAAGTTTTCTCATGTTTGGTCTCAAAATGGCGTTTAACACTCGATGTACGGCAAACAACATTTTCAAGACATAAAGTGCACACAGCACGGTCCTTCTGAAACACAAAACCCCACTCTTCTTTCCATGAGGGCTGGAATGCCCGAACATTAACTTTAGCTTTCTTAGCTAGCTGGCCTGCCATTGCCAACTTACCGTTACCGAGCCCGCTCCGCCAGCAACGTTAGAAGCCTACTAGCCAATCAGAGCAGAGGCAGAGTAGGGTCAGTATTTGCTGCATGCGGATGGGGATAGTTTTTATACAGTCTATGGTGGGGATACAAGTCAATCAAACTACCGTAAATAACAGGTCGCGCAACTGTGAACGTTATCATTTGAACTATCCTCCTTCGCACGGTCGCTTTGTAAACAGTGGGGCGGTACTTCCGCATGCGCCGGCGACATCGAGCATGACCGTTCAACGTGAAGACGTAGTTCTGATCTGTGTTGCAGATCAGCTCAATTCGAACAATTGTAGTTAAAAAGTATATATATATATATATCGTTTTGCTAGATAAGACCATCTTCCTCAGCTGCGATCGTGCACAGCCCGTTGAAGCATTTCAAATACCTTTGAAACTGCATTGATTTGGACTTCGAATAATGGACTTGAATGGCAGCCAACGTTTTAAAGAAAAAAAAAACAGAAATGTTTTCCTCAAAAAACATATTTTCTCTTCGACTGAGGAAAGAAAGGCATGGATATCTTGGATGACATTGGGGTGAGTAAATTATTAGGACATTTTCATTTTGAGGTGAACTAATGCTTTCAGCATTTCAACTATGATTTTAACACATCAATAACTCTCTTGCACACATATTGCCAGCGTGCCATTGGTTAAGGGTCCGCGTGCCCATGGTGGCACGCGTGCCTAAGGTTGCTGACCCCTGACCTAGAATAACACTTGATGGCTGCTGTGTCAAGTCTCCGTCATCGGTTAGGAACCTGGGTGTTCTCTTTGATAGCAATCTTTCATTTGAAAGTCACGTTTCTAGCATCTGTAAAACCGCATTCTTCCATCTTAAAAATATATTTAAATTACGACATAGGCCTATGCTTTCAATTAAAAATATGGGAACAGTTAGTACTGTACATGCGTTCATGACCTCAAGGCTAGATTATTGTAATGCTTTTATGGGTGGTTGCCCTGCACGCTTAATAAACAAAGTCCAGTTGGTCCAAAACGCAGCAGCTCGAGTTCTTACCAGAACCAGGAAGTATGACCATGTTAGCCCAGTTCTGTCAACACTGCATTGGCTTCCTATTAAACATCGTATACATTTAAAAATATTGCTGATTACTTACAAAGCACTAAATGGTTTAACTCCCCAGTACTTGAGCGAGCTCTTACTTGAGCGAGCTCTTAACGCATTATAGTCCTTCACGTCTATTGCGATCTCAAAATTCTGGCCAATTGACAATACCTAGAATATCAAAATCAACTGCTGGCGGTAGATCCTTTTCCTATTTAGCACAAAAACTCTAGAACAGTCTTCCTAACATTGTCCGGGAAGCAGACAAGCAGACACACTCTGTCAGTTTAAATCTAGACTAAAAACACATCTCTTTTTTACCTGGCATTCACATAGAACATTATATTATTCAAATCAGTTAAATGATTATTAGGCTGCATAAATTAGGTCAGCCAGAACTGGGGACACTTCCTATAACACCCGACGTACTCGTTCCATCATAAGAAGAATGGCATCTACGCTAATGTTAGTCTTCCGTTTATTCCAAGGTTTACTGAAGTCAGCCGGATCCGAGCCGCATCCAGATCAGACAGTGAACCTGCGGCTGGACATGACCACAACGCATTCCTGAAGTGCCAACCTCATCAGCTCTGTGAAGGCCTCATGGACATGATGACTCTGACCTCCAACCAGATGGAACTGGATACATATTGTGATTGATCTGATCCAATCTGACTTCTGACCTGTAATGCTGCCTGAATTATAATCATACACTGTTCGTTCGTTGGCCAGAAGAGAACTGGCCCCCGACTGAGCCTGGTTCCTCCCAAGGTTTTTTTCTCCATTCTAATGGAGTTTTGGTTCCTTGCCACCTGTTGCCTTGGCTTTTGGCTTGCTTAGTTGGGGACATTTAATATTCAACAATATTATTGATCTGCCTTACTTCAGGTGGACGATGACGCAATTTTCTTCTAGAGACAAACTGTTGTATTATTTTCATGTTATCACTGTGAAGCTGCTTTGATACAATCTGTATTGTAAAAAGCGCTATATAAATAAAGGTGACTTGACTTATTTTCCCCCACGTCTAGTACAATTATGTGGTTTTGTTTCATTAATGCAGTGTATACTTCTTTTTCTAAATTTACCCTGAAAGAATGAAAGTGAAATGTGACAACATGCCCCATAGGTGGGGCATGTTGTAACATGTGAGGGGCAACATGACCATATGACAGCTTAAAATATGATCTGATCTAATAAAAAATATATATAGAAGACAAACTAAAATATTTTGTCAATAAAATACAATTATTAACTTTTTCATGTAAAATAATGGCATTTTTTAAGAATAAAAAATATATTTTTTTTTTTGTTTGACAACAAACACACTGCAAAACACAGCTATACAGCATAGTTCAAAACATAATAATATTTAATCACTTTTAAAATAGAATTCATAAAAGTATAGAATAGAATAGAATAGCACAGTTCTAATAGGGGCACGTTGTAACGCAGTGTTATATCGTGCCCGACCTGCACAACTGGGATTTAAACTCTGCTAGTGTCTTCTGCTGGTTAGTGAAGCATTAAAGAACTATCTCAACTGTTAAATAAAAGATATCAGATTAAAATAATATCTGATGTAACTAATTTGAAATAAACACAAAAAACAGAGATGAAAAATCCTTTTTATTTCTCTATAGTGTTGATATGGGAACTAATAAATACACTAAGGTTCATGCTGGTGAAAAGTTTTAAACCGTGTGTGTTACAACTAGACCCGTGTTAGTTTGTGCCCTGCTCAATCCTACAAATTACACATCATTTGCATTTGTGTAGGTTTCCATCTCTATTAGATTTTTTAGATGTGTTTTGTAAAGAAATCAAGTGCATTCTTTTTTCTTTGTATTTATCGTGCATTTATCTACAAATTATCATTCAGCTTTTATCAAAACAATAGTTCATTGTATAAAAGTTATGTGTTCTATGTATTATCATGTTGTATCCATTCGTTTGTAAAAGCCATTCAGTTTTTTAAAGGAAATACCTTTGCATTTATAAACTTTAGAAATGTTAGTCGTATTTCTTTTGTTCTCCATCCATAGATTAGTGGGTGTAGACAACTTGGAAACAATAAGTACATGATGCTTATAAATATACGGTTGCTAGAAGAAATGTTATTCCTTATTCTATATGACAAAAATGCAATCAAAGCAGAAATCAAACTAAGCGTCATAATAATAATGTGAGTAATGCAGGTATTAATGGCCTTTAAATGAGTCTCACCAGATCTAAACACAGAAGAGAAAATGACAACATAAGATACAGTAATAAGAATAAAATCAGCAGTGGTTATAAGGAAAGCACACAAAAGTCCTACAATATTATTAACAGATATATCTCCACATGCTAACTGAACCAACGCCATGTGTTCACAAAAAGAGTGATCAATGACATTTGTTGCACAAAATGACAGTTTTCCAGCCAGAGAGACCATGGTGACAATAAGGAGTCCATTTCTCATTACTGGCACAACAACAAACTTTAGAAAGTTAGAGATTTCCATGAATTTATGATAATGAAGAGGTTTGCATATTGCAAAGTAACGGTCCAGTGCCATCCAAAAAAGCAAAGTAGATTGAAATGTTCCAATAAAATGAAGGCCAAACATTTGTATCAAACAACCAGTTAGAGATATCCCACTCCAATTAAACAAAAAACTAAGAAGCATGTTAGGTACAAAAAATATAGGCATGATCAAGTCTAACACTGCCATAACTCCTATTAGTACATACATAGGAGAATGCAGAGACGTTTGAGATTTGATTAAATATATGAGAATACTATTTGCTGTGATAGCTAATAAAAACATCAGAAAGAAAGGGATAAATAACAAAGGCCTCCATTCTCCTAGGCCGTAGAAACCAATCAGATTGAAGTCTGTGAATGAAATATTTTGTGTAGGTAGATCCTTCATGCTGAAAAACTCTTCTGCACACACAGTGTTCTGTTCAAATAAACGAAGGTAATGAAACTGAGAAGAGAAATTATACAGTAGTTGACCAAGTTTCACTTTTTAAAACATCAACATACAGCATTGTCATATTTTCTACTGTGCCAGAATTTTGCACCAAACATCATCTCTGTAGTGTAAAGCTAAACCATTGCTTCGGTACTGTTAATGCTAATAAACAAATTGAAAAAAAAAAAAAAAAAAAAAACACCTTTACCCTACTCACTTTTTTTGTATTGTTAAACTGTGATGCAAATTTACATGCTACATTTTAAACTTAAAGTCAGAAGTAAATTGAATAATTCATCGTATGACCACCATGCAATTCATATATAACTGCAGTAAATCCGATATATTAAATCTACCCATATATTTGTTAATCTGAGCTCTTCCCATTGGATTGTTGAACAGATACAATTTACAATTTATTATATTTCAGATGTGTTATATGTTTTACTTGTTAGAGTGAAATGAAGACTTGACTTGTATCTTGGTCTCTAAAAACACTGTGTTGTGTTCCCATGAGTCTGTGTGCTACTCCCATTGAAGAATAGAGCTCAACGCCACCTGTATCATGGGGTTTCAGTGTCTGTGTCAGAAAGTTTTTTCTGAGTTGTAGGATTTTTGTGGCTAACAAGCTAAAAATGTCATCACAAATACAGCGTGAACTAAAAGATTAAGGAATGAAATTGTGTTGTGGGGGAGCATATCAATTATAGGGCCATGCTGCCCAGCTTTATTTGGCACATAATGAACCTATGAAAAAGGGTCCTATGTTCCCTAGTTCACCTGTCTATTAACACACATTAAACAAACTTTTTATACGATCAGGATTCATTTTCCCAGGGCCCTATCAACTTCATGAACTTTCATTCCTAACCTAAGGAAGCTGACCATTTGTGATTCCATTCAACCATTTTAGTTCAGTTCCCTCAAGTCTAGTCTATTATACTGAGAGCCATATGGCAGTGCTGAGGAATAAAAAACCTGTTTGACGAGTTCCCAAAATGTCATATTACTGTAAGAATAATCATATTCCGCGATCGCAACATCTACCTCCGCCCGGAAGAAACCTCGGACATCAAGCTCACGCTTCTTTTCAAACCAGCCGCACAAAAAAGCCATCTCAAAGCAAGTAAACGTTACAATCTAAAATAATTGCTGTTTAAGGTTGTCTAGACTCTAGAAGCAAACCTTGGGGTCTCCGTTGAAGTAACTGTTTTGATTTGATCTGTCCTGAGAAGATCTCACTCTCACTCTCTCTCTCACTCTCTCTCTCTCTAACTTTCTCCCTCCAATACTTCGTATTGCAATCATTTTGTGTAATTGTTTGTTTTTGCTGTGCATATTTACTCGAGTAGTTCATGTAATCTTTAGTTGTGTTTATTAAATTCCATCATCGTTTGAAGTGAATTTGTCTTATTGTCCATACTTTTGAAGTCTCTGCAAATGTCTAAGATCTAAGTTGCCAAGCTCTACCTTGTTAAATTTTAGAAATATCTAAAGTGCCTTACACGAAAATATCTTTCCTTTGTGGCCACAGGGAAGTTATTTGTTGTTTACAGGCCGGTAAATCGTGATAGTTAAGTCTTGTTTCCAGTCCGCCGGACGGACAGATTGCATGACCAACTAAATTTGAATCACATGAAAATTTACCTTTATAATTGATCCGGTTTTATCTACCCATAGTAATAATCACCACGAGAAATCATGTTAATTATTCATATGTGGTGAGGTTTAACCTGTTCCTTATTTGAGATAATAAATATTCATTATTTTGTGAATATTACCCCCATGTGAGTTAATATTCCCCCAAAACAAACTCATTGCCGCTACAGTAGCCTACAGCCATTTGTAGTTTACAAATATTTAACTAATTGAATTATGAATTTATTGTTCAATTTTAGTTGCTGCCACGTTTTTTTTTTTTTTTTTTGCATGTGGTACCATAAAAATTAGTATTAGTTCAATAACTTACCTTTCTGTCAGTTTTCACCTGATAAAACAGTGAGTAAGAATTATACTTGTGTATTGACTCGGAAGTATGTAGACGTCTTTTTGTCGAGTGCTGTTGCCAAGGTGAATCGTAATTTCGGAGCTCCATTGATCATGGCTTTTCATAGTTGTGGTGCACGTGCTTAACTCAGAGTCAACCTACTCAGAGTTGATTGAACTAGCTCAATTCAGCTATTCTGAAACCAAAAACTAAGAGTTTCCCATCTGAGGGTAAGTCAACTCAGAGTTCAAGTTTTAATTCAGAGTTGGTTGAACCTCCTTATTGAAACAGGCCCCTGGACACGACTGATTCTCTAATCTCATCCTGTATATAAGCTTTAAATTCATGGGTATTTAATTTTTGTCATATATATGAAAGCGTAGCGTAAGTTCCGCCAGAAAGACTCAATTGTGACGTCATGTATTACCTTCTCATCTATCCAATCGCGTTCTAATACATGAAGTATAAAAGATCCTTACTTACACTCGTCTGAGTTCGCAGATGCTGACGCTTTCACTTTCCACCATCTTCCCCACCTCCACCAAGACGGTCTTCGCTCCATCCTTTCCACCACCACCAGGTCGGTCCCTTCCAAAACCCCAAGGGGGGGTCGGCTGCGCCCCTGGCTTCATCTTCAAGCAGGATATGCAGAATTCGTACCCTCGGATCGCGAGTTTTGGACGGGGCCTACGCCAAAGAACTTTATTGCATATATGGCTTGCTGGGCTGTTAATAAAATGCATTATTGTACAGTATCTTATCTCCCGAGTCTTTCTGGTAGAACTGTTATTCTACAACATTAAATCCAGCAATGTTTTTGTAAACAGTTATTCTGAAAAATATTGAAATATAATAATGCATTCAAACATTTTGAACTCTTGCTTGACTCAGACACACACAGACATCAACAATCAGTATATGAATCTCAACAATGTTGACAATAAAAAGTTTCATGTCGCAATGCATGCTGGGTGCTAGGATAGTATAAAACGTACTCGGTTACTAACGTAACCTCGGTTCTCTCTAGAAGAGGGAACGAGTACTGCGTAATATCTTTCTTACACTAGGGGAAAAACTCTTTTCTGGGTACGTTCCGAGTACGTTCTCTTACGAGAGGTTCTCTCGAAACGGATAATGAGATCGTTTCTCACCAGTGATTGGCCATGCAAGGTTTCTGTAAACGCTGCTATGGCTGCGACATACACTTTGAGCGTGAAGGGGGTACTGCCCTCATCCAGAAGCTCTTGTAAAAAGGAGAGAATCTCCGTAATGCCACAGCGTTGTGGATCCAGGTTCCGAGCCGAGCACCAGCCGGAAAACACTGACCATTTAGAAGCGTAGAGCTGTCTAGTAGAGGGCGCTCTAGCCTGTGTAATTGTATTCAGCACTCCTACTGGGAGATCAGCGGGTAACCGTTGATCGCCCATACGTGCAGGGCCCATTAGTCGGGGCACGGGTGCTAAATTGCCCCCCTGGCCTTAGAGAGGAGATCCTTCCTCACCGGGATCGGCCATAGGGCTGTACTCACTATCTGCATCAGCTCCGGGAACCAACTTTGGTTCCTCCAAAGCGGCGCTATGAGGAGCACAGAGCATTTGTTCTCCCTGATTCGCTTGATCACCTGTGGCAACAGCGCGATTGGGGTAAAGCATAGAGCGGGTGGCTTGGCCAGTCGTGGGTCAGCGCGTCCTTGTCTTTTGCGAAGAACAGTGGGCAGTGCGCTTTCTCTGACGACGCAAAGAGATCGATTTCGGCTCTGCCGAAAATGTCCCATAATAACTGGACTACCCGAGGGTGCAGTGACCATTCCCCCGGGGGAACGTTGTCTCTGGACAGCATGTCTGGACCCACATTCTGACAGCCCGGCACTTGCAACACCGTTAGCGAGCGTAGGTTGTGCTGAGACCACACAAGGAGGCGTTCTGCTAGCGCATGAAGGCTCCGAGATCTGAGACCTCCTTCTCGGTTTATGTGAGACACCACCGCCATGTTGTCCATGCAGACTAGGACATTGTGGCCCCTTAAGAAGGGGAGAAAATGCCCCAAGGCGTTCTCGACCGCTTTCATCTCTAGACAGTTTATGTGCATGCACCCTTCCTGGGCTGCCCACAGGCCAAAGACTGGCCTGCCCTCGTAGAGGGCGCCCCAACCTGAGTTGGATGCGTCTGTCGAGATTACTTTTCGTTTCGAGATCGTTCCCAGACTCACGCCTGACTGGTATAAGTCTGACACCTACCAGGGCTCCAGTGCTGTAATACAGTTCTGGGTTACCCAGAGGGGAATATGACCAGAGGTCAACGCTCGAAACGGGACCCTTGTTTTCAGCCAGTGCAGGAGAGGGCGCATGTGAAGTAAGCCCAACCGAAGCACTGCCGAGGCCGAAGCCATAAGGCCAAGCATCCTCTGAAATTTTTTGAGAGGGAGAATACAGCCGACCTTGAAGGACGCCGCTGAGTGCTGTATCCGCAGCGCGCGCTGTGACGTCAGCTGGGCTGTCATGGATACGGAGTCTAAGTCCGTTCCCAGAAAATATATTTTCTGGCTGGGAGACAGCGAGCTCTTGGTACAGTTGACTTGGAGACCCAAATCTCATAAATGACTGAGCAATAGAGCCCTGTGCACTATCAGCTCCGTCTCTGACTGGGCTAGAATAAGCCAGTCGTCCAGATCGTTCAGTATCCGCATCCCCTGAAGTCTCAGGGGGGCGAGAGCCGCGTCCATGCACCTCGTGAATGTGCGGGGTGCTAAAGACAGACCAAACGACAGGACGGTGTACTGATAGCTCTGACCCTCGAAGGCGAATCGCAAGAAAGGCCTGCGAAGGGGTATTATTTGAATCTGAAAATAGGCATCCTTCAGATCCACTGAAATAAACCAGTCCCTCAGACGAATTTGCGCGAGGATTTGTCTGGTCGTGAGCATTTTGAACGATCGTTTCATAAGGGCTTTGTTTAAGCGCCTGAGATCTAGGATGGCTCTGAGACCTCCATCCGTTTTGGGCACC